GGGGGAAGGGAACGGGAAGAGCCCGGGGGAAGGCATGGACCACAAAGACTGCGGGAGACAGGGTCTCCCCGGCAGCACCTCCCCTCTGTGCAGACACCCCGGAGCATCCCCGCACCCCGGGCTCGGTAGCGGCCGCCCCGCAGCGAGGGGGCTGGGGAGGGGGCTGGGGGGGATGAGCTGCCCCACGCCACTGTGGTCCACCTCTGCCCTGCCCCACTGCCGAGTATCGGGGGCGCGGGGGGCAGACAGCGGGGTAAGAAGCAGTGCCTGTCCCTGTCTTGGATGAGCCAGGGGTGATCTCAAGGACAGGTTCCAGGTCTGGTGGCAGACTGAGATGTGGAGGGCCATGGCAGAAGGTGAGGACCCGAGCTAAGGAAAGATTAGAGGAGGGCAAACCACTTTTTTTAGTGCTGTTAGTGGACAGAGTGATCTGAGGTATTTTAAAATTTCTGTCTCATATCCAGAATTGCTCTGAAAAGTTCTGGCTCTGAAAGCCTCATAAGCAAACTGGTGGTGGCTGGGTGGGATGGTGGCTGAGGGGTGGCTCATGAGGGATGCTCAGACCCCAGCTGAGTTCACAGATGTGTGTAAAACAAGCCCTATTTCAACTCCAAAGGCTGCGAAGCTCAGAAATGCTGAAAGCCTCCCTACATCCCCAGATCAAAGAAATGTAAAATCCACACCCGGGGGTCATAAAAAACATGGAAAAATGTAGATTAGAAGAGGAACATGTGGAGGTGCCTGATCCAACCCCCTGCTTGAAGCAGGGCTCACCAAAGCTAGGCCAGATTACTTGGGGCCTTGTCCTGTGAAGTCAGGAATATCTCCCTGGACAGAGATCCCACCAGTTCTTATCTGGGCCACGTCTGATGGAAAGAATTTTTTTCCTCATATCCAACCAGAATTTCCCCTGTTGCAACCCATGCACGTTGTCTCCTGCCATTTCTTTGTGCACCTCAGAGTGTGTCTCTGGGTAGCCCCGTTCCCTCCTCTTCTTCCCATAACGTCCTGCATTCCCATCCCTGGCACACCTCTGTGATCCCACGTTTGAACTTTTCAGTTTATCAGCATCCCTCCCGTCTTGGGGAAACCTAAATCTCTCAAAACTTCTCAAAAAGGTCCCAAAACTGCGGATGAGCTGAGCAGAGGGGCACAGTGGCTCTCTGCAAAGCTTTGGGTGTGCTGTGTGCTGTTTCTCAGGAGGCGTGCTCACATCCTCTTTTGTTGCTGGGTGCAGGAGCTGTGCAGAGAGGAAGCCATGGCATTTCGTCACAGCCCACGCTTTTCTGCTGCTGGGGACTGCCTAGATGACTTGGGGACAGGGGAGTTTGCTCGTGTGCCAGCACACGAGGCTGGCTCAGAGCTCCCATTATCCGCTGCGTGCCCCTTTTGAGAGTCCTCCACAAACCCCCAGCAGCACGGGGCTACCTTTCTTGCCTAATTCACAGGTTTCACCCCACAGATTCATTCACACAGTAGTACTTCATGTTTTTTAAGAAATCCTTTGTGGAAGTACACTGTGCCTGACATAATTCCACTGTCCCCGTGTTTGGAAACATTCCTTCAAGGCTTTCTATTGATATTTACATGCTATCTTCTAACTGGCATTTATTTACAGAAGAGCGCAAGAAGTGCTTTTGACAAGCACATGTAGTGACTGGTTTTAGAAAGATGGGGCAGGGCTCGCCTTACAGACATTTTTAGGCTTAATTAGGAAAGATTGTGGGGAAGAAATAGCTGCACCTACATTTTTCTGTTTCCCACTGGTTTTAGTTGCTGTAGCGTGGGATACACTTTTTTTGTGTGTGTGTACGCAGTCAGGTTTGACCAACTCTCTATAGGCACAATGATACAGCAGGCTGTAGTCTGCTCCTGGCTTCCAGCTGGGCTGGTCTTCCTCGGAGGAATACAACAGGAGGCTGGGGAGCACCCCAAGCAGTTGTGTAACCAACCCTCTGTGAAAGCAACAGACACCCTACCCGAGTCAGGGTTTTTTTTTTTTTTAAGGCACAGGTTTTACACGGGCATAAGCTTCCACTTTAACCCATGTAGGGAAGACGGTCTTTCTGCATCACTACCTTGTGACAAACAGGTTGCTAGAAGAGGCTGAAAGAGCTTTTGTACTGGGGTGGTGTCTTCTCACACAGTTTTCTGTTCTTTCACTTCTGTTTCTGCAGCTGTATCAGGCAAGGAAGAGACAAGATTGCAGAAGATTCAGCTGCTTCTGAGAAGTGAGATGTTGTTACCATGAGCAGGAACAAAAAAGAACAAACAGGATTAAGTCTCTTGTACTGCCTTCCTGCTTCCCTCCATCTACCAGAAAGATTTATTTTTTTTTTTTAAATGCAGAAAATTATTTCTTTTCTAACAGAAACAGCTGAGAGATTTGACTCATCACTCGCCATCCTCCAAAACCAGAAGCTGCCCCTGTGAGCTGCTAGCTGACTGAATTCTGTACACTGCAAAGCAAGTTTGCATTTCCCCGGAGGTGATTGGAAATGATCTTGCTGAGCTCTCCAGTATTAAAGTTGATGTATGTTTCCCTGCATCCAAGGTTTTTTCCAGGATTGCATAAAGCAGGCTGAGTTTAGGAGCAGCTTCATTTCACCTTTTGGAAATGAACAACTTCTGGGTTATTTTCAAGCTTTTTGGTAGCCAGAATAGCATATTACTCATCTGTTCTTGTTAAACAGATTTCAGGAATGTCTGCAGTGCCAGGAGCTCATGTATTAAGGATATATAACAAGTTGTTTCTTTTGGTGCCTTGTGCTCTGGCAGTGTGTTGTATCTCTGAATGCCTTTAAAATGCCAGGAACAGATCAGATGCCCAGAAGACAGTCAGGTCCAGATGTGCTTGTGTGTTTGGGGTAGTCCATTTCTATACAGGGAGGTTTCCGAAGCAAGCAGCAAAGGCATCTAGGGTGAACTCCAGATCTGTGCATCTTCCCAGCAGAGTGGCCACTTACACGCTGTGTAATTGCTTGTAGTTAAATTGGATCACTTTGTAATGTGATACATACAGAGCCATATCTGATTGAGGCATTATGCCCAGTATTGCCTTCTACGAAGTATTAACAAATTGAAAGGCAAGGTGTTGTCTTACAATAGTGAATTTTTAATGAATAATGAAAATTAAATTCCTTTTTCCCCAAAACTTTAGGTTCAAGCGTCATGTTTTCCCTAGCACCATTATTGCTGTTGTTCTAGTTGAGAGCTGAGATCCTCATATAATCCTATGTCTAAGAAAGTGTGGTTTTTTTAGAAGAGTGTGGAGCAATGTAAGACTCTGAGAAATACAACAGAGCTTGTGGCAGCAGTCCCCCCACGTGCTGGCTGCCCCAGCACTGCAGTATTTAGGTGCTGAAAGAACTGAGCCCCCCAGGAGTTGCTCAGCTCACAAGAGGTGTGCCAGCACACAAGGAGAGATGTGAGAAACCATCATTTGCAAGTGATCCTGCCTGCAGTCAGGCTCAGGCCAGAACCATTAAGGTCATCCCTGTCCTCCCTCCAATCTCTTACTGAGAAAGGTGAAGGTGAAAGGGGTAGGGGACCCATGAACTGCTCTTGGATGCTCCTTGCTCTGAGTTTTGCATTTTGAATTCTGCACATCAGGGAAAACCTTGCTGCTGCTTGGATTGGACTTCCCAGATAACCATCAAAAACCGTAAGACTGTATCCCAAAGATGATGTTTGCTATAGGGTCAAGAAATTTCCTTTTTCATGCCTTTCTGCCATAGCAGTCTGGTGATAATACCCTAATGGACTATCAGATGGACCTTAGTACAGCCTTGTGGGCTCTTCGGGACCTGAAGATTACTTTTCAGTCCAGGAACATGCTTCTGTCTCTGGGGTATGAAACTTCTGTCTAGCAACATTGCAGGCGTGTTCTAAAAAAATATTCACCGTGCTTTTTTGTATTAATTTTTTTCCTGGAGACAGAGAGGAAGGTAGTGCTTGGCTCATGACTGTAACTATTCAATAATCACCAGGTCCTGGTGACTTCTTCATCTTGGCTTAATTACATTGTGGTGAAAGTGCTCACATCTACATGCCTGAAGAGATACATAGGCAGGAAAAAGCTAAATTCTACTTGTTGGGCTACAACCATTTAGATCTTGGAGTTGCTCACTTGACTCTTTTGCATTACAGCTACAAAATTCAGGAAGGACTGAATCCCTTGGTGCTTGAGATCCTCAATATGTATGTATCCAAAACGACCCATCCAGAAGTGCTTAGCCTCAAAGCGATTGTTTATTCTAAAGAATGTTCCATGATACACCAAAATAAAACACTTCTCTGGCAGGAAAAAAAAAAAAAAAAGATGGAGGAATAAAACTTGTGGGCTCACAAACCATGGTAGGATACTGTCCTGAAGACTGCTCAAGGGATATAACCATTTCAATTTGAACTTTGGAGTTTAAGTGACGAGTGGGTTTAGTTACTCCAAGGTGTTTTGGGGGGGATCTTTGGGTGTTTTGGGGTTTGTTTGTTTGTTGCTTTTTTTTTTTTTTTTAAAGTAATAATACCTAACTTAATATTTGTGATTTTATGCATCTCTAACCTAGTATGAGAAGTGGGTTATAGGTACACCAATAAGGTTACTAACACTTTTTCCATCAGTGTTAATCCTATTACAGGGTAAGATGTGCTGCCTGCTGTTCTGGACTCACCAGGAGCACAGAGCAAATTGTAAGTGCCTGCCCAAGTAATCCTCTCTATGCTGATAATTTGATTGATATGTTCTGGGCTGTTTTGTTTATAAGACATATATAGTATCACAAATACAAAAGACCGTCAGAGGGAGTGGTAAAATTGCCCTGGAATTACAGTCCTTCAAATTTCTAATAGTGAATGTGACTGCTCATTGCTTCGGAAATGGTTTGGGTGTGATAAAGCTTTATGTGCACTTTTGAAGCGCGTATAAAAGATAGAATCTGGATGAGGGGAAAAGGGTGCAGCTCCCTCGTTTTTGGCTTAGCGTGTCCAGGACATGCTGGGACACATCCTGCTATTTTCTGTTCTGATAGATGTGAACTTGAAACCCAAGCCTTCAAAATGCAGGGGGGTGGGGAGAGGAATGCTTCCAAAGATAAGCAAAGGAGGTATTTCCACTACAACAATGAAACCTGTTGAACGTGGTGTGCTTAATGTACTCCCAAAAGTTATCACAGCCAAAGTCCAGAATCTGGCCTGGACACAGACTCCTCTGTGATCTCTGGCCATTTTTGCACGGATTGCTTCCCTGGCAGCAGCTCACATGCACAAAAAAGTCACTTTCATATCTTCTGCTTTTTCTTACCCGCGGTGGGACTCCTTTCTTCTGCTCACCAGCCCCTTGGAGAGCCCACATCTCAGCTGAGATCAGCAGGAGCTGCAGCCCACCGGTCTGCAAGGGCTCAAGAACTGAAAGGCCCATCACCTCTCTTCTTGGGTGGAGAAGCTGGTGGGGATCTCTTTGAGGGGGACGCTTGCCAGCACGGGGAGTGAAGCAGCCCCAGGCTGCCACCGCCTCTCCCCCCTTACAGCTTCACTTCTCTCTCTGCACGGGGTGCTCTGTCTCCCATCTACCAGCAGCGCCAAGCTCTGCCACGGCTGCCAAACACAGGCAGGGCAGTTCAGGGCTCTTCCCTGCACGGGGATGAGCTTGGGGCCTAGAAGAAACAAGTTGAAGCTTAATCTGGTTGGGATACAAGGGCAGTTGCCTGGTTGCTGGAAGATGGGGATAAACCCTCTCTGCTTTGTAGCCAAGGGGTGTCTGCATTTGCAGCTACAGCTTTCTCCAGGAGAAGGAGATGGGTTCCCTGTTGTTCCTAGAGAACTGGGTAGCAATGGGTCTGGTGGGACTTTCTTCTCCTTCCTCCTGGCCAGCAGACCGCAGACACAGCTTTCAGGTGCTGACACTGTTTTTTTTCAGCAGCGCTGTTATCACCTGGCGATTCAACATCACAGTCGCTCCACGTGAGCTCCACCTTAAATCAGCCTGAAACTTGAAGTTAGGGCAGGATATGGCAGCTCCTCGCTAAGCTGGGTATTTTTCTGCATGCACATGACACCATAGCGTGCTTCTGGTTTCAGGGTGGAGTTCGAAATGTGGCTTCTGACCGGTAAAGCTTTTGTACCCTGCTGTCTCGGGTGTACTAAATACGTATTCAACAGAGAGGTTCTTTTGGTTTAGTAGGGGTAAGCTACTTGGGGTCTATGTCCTGCGGCTGACCCTTAACTTTACACCTCTCACACCTGTGGGACCCGAACCAGCAGAGCTCAAATCTGTGGCCCCAAAAGCATGGTACAAAATTTTTGTGCACCTGAGATGTGGGGTTGGCTGGGGAGGAAAGCAAGTCAGGGAGGCCCATCCTGACGGCAGGCACAATGTTCCTGCCTCATCCTTTTTACTGAAATGTTCTACAGCATGATAGCACGTACACTTAATTGATTTGGTAGCAAAAGGGACTCCATTTGAAACATGTGTATGAGCACCCCAGAAAAGCACCTTTTTTGTTCTGTCCTGTACATGGCAGTAAGTATATGATCAAAACAAATCCAGGTCCTGCCATTCTAGTCAGTGGAAGGAGCAGAGATCCAGAGCTGACTCCATGGTAAAATTCCGTTTTTTCTGAGAGCAATTGCAGGGAAGCTCCCAGCAGCTGTCGCTCTCCAATGGATTTGAAATCTATTGTACCCATGCAGTGACTGAGCCAATTGTTTCATTTTATGAGCCTGTGAACACTTTTTCAAAATTAAAATGTGCTTTTCTCAGCTGTGAGAAGGGTACAACGCTACTGTATCTATGGTGACATAACTCAGAAAGTTCCCACAGGCAAGAGCTTATGTTTGTTGTTTAGTTTGCAGAGGAGTCATTCGAGGTATGATTAAATGTGTTTGTCTTTTAAAATAGTTGAAATCCACAGCCTTTAGCTACTAGCAGACATACCTAGCTATTCACGTAGCTCACACAGTGCTAACGGCTAGTTAGGGAAATTAAGGTGACAGAGGTGACAAACTGATAGAAAAAAAACGGGTTGAAGGACCCCCCCCGCAGGAGGAAGGTGGTGCTGGGTCTTGTCAGGATCCTCTGTGAAGGATTCCCTGAAATGCTGATCAAGACAGTCCCCCACCCAGTAAGCACCGGTAAGAATTTGATGATGACCTACAGAAAGAACCAGGTACAGAGGTGACCGCTTCTCTTAACATTTATTGTGCTGTAAGAACACAATCTGGATAAATTTCCTGTAAAATAAAGTAAAAGTTTTCATGTATCTCACCCGGAAGAGGCATTTTCTTGGTTCAGATCTAATGACTTGTAGCATTCACTAGTTATATAAACACTAGTTGCATAAACTCCTTGTGGAGCACCGAAACGTAAGCTTTTCAGAGAAAAGCACAGAGAGAGACTGCCTAAATTTCCCACCTAAATGTCTACGTTTTCTTCATCGTGGCAAGACGAGGTCATGCATGGAGGTATGGGGCCATCCTGAGAAAGACGAGCCAGTCGGTTGTTGTTCTGAAACTCTACCACTCCGCTGCAGGCGGCCTGGGAGTTTGAGCGTGTTGGTTTCCACAGCAGATCTTCAGCCAACCCCAAGCCAGGAGCAGCCGCCGCGCGTTCATCTGCGTGTGTGTGAGCTCCACACCTGCAGTCATCTGAAAGGAAGCATCATCTGCTCCCTCCCGGAGCAGCCAGATGCTGCAGGCTATGTGGTGCCCGGGGGATTAGCGTCCTGCTATTCTTTTGGGCCCTTCTGGAGTGACAGGTAGAGTCATGCTGTGGCTGCAGAGCTTTGGCGGGCATACTGCAGGTATTACTCATCCACAGCTTTGTCAGGACGTCAGATTAAAGCACACCCAGCCTACAGATAAAGCCAGGTTTCTTTGCCGCATGTAACTCGCTCCGGTAGCTCACTTTTTGTCCCAGGATAATAAAAGCATCAATGCTCCTTTTTTTTTTTTAATTTTCTTTTTTTTTTTTTTTTTTTTTTTTTTTTCTAATTAGTGAAACTATGTTTACAAGGCACTGTCAGTCTGTTTCCTTCGTGCTATCTGTTTTATTGTCTGGTCAACAATACATGAACTTTCTAACTCTAGGGGTTCACAAAAGATGGATTTCCCTGCTAGTTTTCACATATGACAAAACCTTTTTGCTGGTGCCAGTATGAA